AAAAAAAAAAAAAAAAAAAAGCAGGTGCCTCAGCATTCACATGCATGAGTACATCTTGGACTCATCTCCGCGGAAACACCCCCCCCACTGATGCTTTTTCTGTGCACGGATTTGTATTAGGCACGTTTGAGCATGAGACAGGTTGTACTCCGCGCACTCTGCAGACTGCTCTTGTATTAAGATGTAGCATCACCCTCAGGGGGGGAGTGCCGAGATTGCAAAATAAAAGCTGACCTGGATAATTGCTGCTGAGTCTGGCGGATGAAGGTCAATTCCAGCACGGAAACTGGGACAATCATGCTCGTGGAAAATTTAGTCAACGTGATTTTAGATATCACTTTTAATTAAAAAGGACAAACACGATGTGAGACTACCAGCTTTCCTTCAAACATGGGAGCTCCTCATCCCTCACCATCAAATGTGGTCCAATGAGAGGGTTGGACCAAAAATTAAGTTTCTATCTAAAATGGTAGATGCTGTGTACCAGGCTGACAATTGCTGTATAATTAAGTTTTTAATCCAGAGAGACACCATAAGTAAAAGTTTTGCAGTCATTTATTGAATAATATTTAATTCCACACATTCAGCACATGAGACAGTATAAATGTCATCCATTGGACAAATTGTAAATACGAAACAAATAAAATAAGATACTTTTTAAAACGTCAACTGTATGTTTTGGCCGTTCGTGCCATTATCCGGAAAATTTCACATCTTAAATCCATCTAAACATTACGGTGACGTTTTTGCGTTTTTCACGCAGGAGGTTTACCAGTTGATTCATAATTGAAAAGTGCGGATGTTACCATTTCCACACTTTCGTGTGATATTAAAACACCCTCTGTCAAAGGTTCCAGGTTCATTGACCCGCTATTTCGCTGTTTTTTTTTTTTTTTGGTCCAGTTTGACCAAACTCTCTTTTAATATTTGGCATGAGTCCTTTTTTTCCCACTGAATAGAGGCAAATGGTGTAATTTGAGACAGTGTATTTGAAAATCTAAAAACAAAAACAAGTAGTTATTGAATCTCCTCCTCTGGAATCGTGCTTTTTATACCTACACACAGCAATGGCTGTAGTTTCATTTTATAATGTTCACCTTTGAACCTGATTGATGTATACTGTGAGACACAAATGTTTTTTTAGCTCAGAAAAATTGGGATTTGCTCACTGGCGACACAGCGGGATTGGTATACTGTTACACTGTCCAATATTTGTGTAAAATCTAAAAACAAAAACAAGTAGTTATTGAATCTCATCTCATATTTGTGTTATCCATTGCTCTTGCTCTCTTTTTATATGTGTTGAAATATGTTTGTATTAATTAAAAGGGTTTTGGGAGCTTTAAAAAAAAAATCAAATGCCATATATGCTATAAAAAAATACTTTATTGCGGATTTCACTTACGGAGGTGGGTTTCCTGCATAACGTATAAAAGCATTTGAACTGTTTGCTCTCTTTTTATATGTGTTGAAATATGTTTGTATTAATTAAAAGTGTTTTGGGAGCTTTAAAAAAAAATCAAATGCCATATATGCTATAAAAAATACTTTATTGCGGATTTCACTTATGGAGGTGGGTTTCCTGCATATCGTATAAAAGCATTTAAACTGGACTACTTTACTTACTGGACAGCAAATGATTGAAATCCTCCACTGACTCATACGTGTTGCTGAATATTTCAGGTTTGCATGCGTCCTCTATGTCGGGGATGATCTCGTAGGTGTCATCACGAGAAAAGCAGCCTCCGAAGGCTTCGGTGTGTATCTCAGCATACACTGGGTTAGTAAGTTGATGTGGTGTGTGTGATGTGGTTTCTATGCACGTAGTGTGAGGTCTACCGGGCCTGCCGGCCAGGAAATAGATGGCATCATCATTCAGGAAGTCAATGCTGTGACTGCTTGGAGGTTTTCTGCATGGGTTTGATGATGATGGTCCCCTGGTGGTTTTTGGAGAAAATCTTGGTCCGGATGTGAGATCCGCCAAGACAGGCAGAGAGTACGAAGGTGCAGACACAGGACGCAACTTTCTGGGGTTCTGATCCAGCGTGGTGCACCCTACAATTCCCCTTGCGGTAGCGTTGGGCAAACAGTCCTGATGTATTTGTTGCTGGCTTGCATGACGGTGCCTGGTTGGTTTCTTTCTAAGATGAGCATACAGAATCCTGTTCGGGTTACTGGGTGGACTAGTTTCCTGGTATCTGCCCCTCCTTGGAACTGGCGGCACCTCCTGTTTTGGACAATATATCATTAAAGTCTCTCGAAAGTGAAAATAAATGTCATGTTTAGCTTTGTTCTTATGAGCACCCCATAACTGCGGATTCATTTTGTTTTGTTATAGAGAGACAATGCAAACTCACATTTAAATCTATGGACAATTTGGACTCTTCAATGAACCCAACATGGGTGGTTTTTTTTTTTTTTTTTTTAGTACAATACATGTAAACCCCATACAGGGAGGTCCCTCGAATTAGAATTTCCTTATTTTTTGCGATGATGACCACACTTACCTCAAGCATCGTTTTGCTCTTCGACAGTAAAGTTGGCTTCTCAGAATTTCTTTCCACTTTTTTCTTGGCTTCGGCATGCCGAATCACATCATACGTCCCGTCTGCAGGTGCCTGCAGGATCCCCGTCCCCCCAAATTTAAATGTGACTTTTTGGTCCTCAGCATATGCAGCTAAAGTCATGTTAAGTTGAATTGTGTCACACCTCAAAGCACGACGATGTGAGATACTCTCCAAATGGCTCGATGGGGCTCGTCTTGTAGTGCCAGATTAGTTCAGAGACTGTGTCATGTCCCTCGGCGGCTCCGCAGACAACAAAGAGCCCTGTGTCACTTTGGTTTATCACAAAGTGTCGACAGCGGTCGCGGCCTCTGTAACAGTGGTAACATGTTGACTGAAGCCTCAACGGATGTTCATGTTACCCGTAAAGTGATCCGGAGATGAATTTGCTTTTAAACATTGTCATTCGAGGACGCTGTCCAGTCTACGCTGGTGCATTTTGATGTCAGTTGCGCCCGATCAACAAAGGCTTAATTGAACAATCGCATAATTGAACAATCACCCCCCGCCCCCGAAAAAAAAAATAAATAAATCAAGCAGTACATGCCTGAACGTTTAAAAACTGTCTGCGTTTCCAACATCCTCACCTATATGACAGAACGTATCCGATGGCTTTGTCACTGAGACGGATTAGGAAACAACCTTGGTCCTTTTCTTTGAGGATTTCTTCTGCATCCCTGTCAGAGAACCACCAAAAAAAAAAAAATTAATGCAGCTTCAATGATTGAATGAAATTCTCATCATGTTGAATCAGCTCGAGTCTCATGTAACTTTCAATGACGCAAGTGTATTGATAAGGGCTAAAAACTGTCCAAAAGCTGTCTTTAATTCATCCTAGCCTAGTACTGGATGTTGGCCAAAACGCAGACTACTGGACTGGTCTCCAGTCAATCGCAAGGCACATAAAGTGACAGACAAGTCACTCACACTCACATTTGTCTCACTGAGTGGGCAAGGAACCCATGCGGCATGCATAGAAGTCAGTCGAACCAAAATATTACACCGTCAATGATCTTAATATCCGTCCTTTGACACTTAAATAATACGAGACACATTTGTGGGACTGTAATCTCTTGTTTGAGGACTTACTCTCTGGCGAGGAAACCCACGAACCAAGTGGGGAAGCGGCCATCTTGAGCGATGTGCGACACTTGAGTCTCGAGGAACCATTTTGAAGACAGTTCAATGAGTTTCCGATGGCAAAGCGATTGTGACGCAGGTTCGATATTCTGTGAAGTACACAGACAAGAAATAACATGAAGGGATTCTGGATTTCTGCTTTACAACCGTCTTATTAATTCAAAGACATGAAAGTTATGATCCGAATGTACCGTACTAAACATAGTACGTGTTATTTTTAATCCCATGTGATAATAATCATCATTTTGCTACCGCTGATTGCTTACCGTTAAAACTCCCAGACATTTCTGTCTGTTCAGACGACAGACATTTTTTTCATTTAATTTCAAGATTTGTGGTTAAAAAAACAAAAACAAGGATCTGCGAATGGCTGACACTGAATGAGATTCGAAAAAAAAAAAGGATCTGCGAATGGCTGACACTGAATGAGATTCATGATTTTGATCTCCTCTGCCGTAAATTATTTTCACATCAACAAAGACCTTGGGAGATGGTTCTAACCTTGAAGCCAAACCGCCAGCAGGTTCTGAGGGACTTTAACCATGTAAAATGGCAGCAATTGTCCCAACTGGGTCTCTTTCCTCCAATTCCTAAAACACACAACAAAAGGCAATTACGATTTAATCACAAAACACTTTTTTTTAAACTTCACAGAATGCATACTCTACCTTTCCCTGATATTAGCACGGGGCGATTTAAATCCAATGTCATCTCAGCGCTCGAGTTCAGTGTGGCACAGCTTGCAAACCTTAAATCAGAAGGAATGTGATGCGACAGTGGGTCTATAGACGAGTAGCATTTACACTCACACTTATTTTTCCACCCGTGTGCAAAGCTGTTGCAGAATGTCCCTCATTTGCATCACAGACAGACACAGGCGGAGTGTCAGGCCTGGTAAGAAACGGAAAGTAGCAAGAGTGTGTGGTTTTTGCACAGGCGTAAGTTGGTTTGTGATGAGAGAGGTTTGACCTCAAGGGTGACTGCTTACTGGGGCAAACAACACATGTCATTACTTGAACGTTCATGTTAAAGTGCGAATGAATGGAAGTCTTTTGTGTGGAAATAACCAAATGTCTTCGACTGTAAATTAAGACGACGCATTGGGAAAGAGACGTCATCACACTCACGGCTCTCTGCTAATGTATTCGGTAAAAAAAAAAAAAAAAAAAATTGTCTGACTCACACTGAGTGGAATCATGATAATCTGCTCCATCTTCAGTCTTTTTAACTTCATAAGTGATCACAGTCTCGGAAAGTATGATCAGCGTTCCTGTAGACGTAGGGTATGGAGTAATCATTTATGGTCGATATACAATATTACAGTATATTCAATGCATGACTAAGTCCCGTATTAATATGGTAACTTGATCTCAGCATCTTATGACCATCATGTGTTCTAATTATGACTCACTCAGTGCTTCTTTAGCGCTTGTTCCATGTCACCATGAGCTAAACAGTGGTTTATTTATAGCCTATCCAATATATATATATAGATATATATATCTATATATATATCTATATATATATATATATATGTAGCACTGAAGATAAAAATAGAAATTGGCAGAACTCTGCTAAATGTTCAGCAACAGTCAGAAGTTCGAAAAAAAAATCGAATTCAATTTTTTTTTCTCTATTATGAAGAAATGTTGATGGAATTATTTGGTAAACAAAAAAATGTTGATCAAAACAGAATGTTTCATCATTTTGATTCTTTAACCTTTTGCCCAGATAACAGCTTTGCAGATCTTATTTTGTCAGTCAGCTTTATGATGGCGGATGATGCTTTATGACCCAGAATAACTTTCAGTTCACAGCTGTGCGTTATCAAGAGTGAATAGTTGGAATTTCTTGATCTCTTAAGAGTTTGAGACTTTGGTGTTCCTCAACTTTTGACTGGCACCGTACATACACTTATACTGTATAAATAATCATTTCTGCCTGGTTTCACACATGTAAAGGAAATTCAAGACATTTTTTGGGTCTCAATGTGCCTTTGTTACAAACATTAAAAAAAAAAACAACATTGTTTTAAAGGTTATTGTCGGGCAATATTTTAATTTGCACGCGTCCTCGTTTTTTTCTATTGACATTCATGCACTTAAAAATACATTAATTGGAAGTTACCCACCAATTAGCCTGCGTAATATTTGAGTATTTTTTCATGAAATACTCACTACTTTTACTCAAGTAATTATTTGGAACAATACGTTTTACTCATATTCTGGACTAACACACAGTTGTGTTGAGTACATCGACTACTCATACCGTTGCTGTAGTGTTGTCAATTGCACCCCGACCCAATATTTATGGCCTCAGCATACATCAATATTTTTAATTGAAGCAATTTAACATTTAGTAATAATCTCCAAAATGTTTATCAGCACGTTTGAGTTTTGTGGGCAAACTAATCGCGGCAAACAGCGCCATTCAGCGGCAAACTCGTCACTTCCGCATTCCCAAAATAGACTTCAACTCCCATGATGCTTTGCCCTGAAGGCGGCCAGTCATGCGGGTGGAAACAGGAGTGGGCATCCGTTACGCTGCACGAAGAAGAAACTTTGGGGAAAGATGCACGAAGAGGAGGATGGCGTTGAGCCGAACTCCGGCCCAGCTCCTCGGTTCGAAGCCTCCGTCAAGGCGGTCGACGGAGTCGACGTGGAGGTGCCGAAGGAGCACACATCCAAGCTGTGCGGCTTCTTGAGCAAACTGTCTGGCAAGGGGCCCCTGAGGGGGTACAAGCCGCGGTGGTTCGTTTACGATCCAAGGAAATGTTATCTGTATTACTTCAAGAGTCCTCAGGACGCCTTGCCTCTTGGACACATTGAAATAGGCGATGCGTGCTTCAGCTACGACGTGGAAGCCGAAGAGGGACACTTTCAGATCAGCACGGCCGGGAAAGAGTTTCTACTTAAGGTACAGTATCAGCTTTTCGAACAAGCACCCTCCCCCCCTCCGACAGACACAGAGACACACACACACACACACACACACACACGCACTCGCGCGACTTTCTGAGGTGGTGCTGTCATGTCATCCCACTCTTTCCCTTTAGTTTTACACGACTGACACACCCATTCACACCATGCTTTATTGTCACGATGGGGTTTTAATAGTTAAGTGATATAATGCAGTGTATTTGCTCATGTAAGCCTGAGTAGTTTGCTTATTCTCACACACACGCGCGCACGCACTCACACACTCTCGCACTCACTAGAGGTGGCAAAATTACTGTACTCTTTATGTCCTCAAAGTAGAAGTACGATTACGGTATTCGTATCTGATTTTACTCCTTCACTAAAAGTATGTGAACCCTTTGGAATTTCTGAAATTTCAGCATAAATTGTTTGCAAAATGTAGTGAGTTTGCATAAACTAATAGCACGCACTCGCTTATGTTTTCTTTTTTTTTAATTGAGGAGGATAATTTAAGTGACCCCATGGATTTAATAACTGGCCTCACCTCCTTTTAGCAGCAATATCTTCAAAACGTTTCGTGGCGTTGCAGATCAGATGTGCAGAACCAGCATGAATTTTGGATCATTTCCCTTGACAAAACTGTTGCAGTTGAGCAAGATTCCTGGAATGTCTGGTGTGAATAGCTCTCTCTAGGTCATGCCACAACATCTCATTGAGGTCAGGGGAGTTTAAGAAATTCCAAAAGGCTTCACAAACATTTTCCTCCCAATGAAAGTGAAAGTCAGATTCAGTTCCCTGGATGATGTTCTTCCACGTTTCTGCCTGTCCCTGTTTTTTCCCCACCTTATAACCCCTCAAGATCTCACTCAATCACAATCAGTATCTTTTTTATGAGTCATCCGGTAAGTACAGATATCATCTTTCAAAAGTAGGGAGTAAAAAGGAAAAGGTGATCAAAAAAATGATTACTCAAGTAAAACACAGAGCCACTCGCATGCAGACACGGTCACGGCAGAGTATCTCTTTCGCTTTGCAGGTGGTGACAGGTAGTGGATGATGACAGTTACGTTTTTCCCTCGGCTCCAAGTGTCATGTGATTGTCATCACATGATCCTGTTGAGACTCGCACCGACTGCGTCATCATTTTCAAACAGATGGTGGAGAATGATCAATGCCAAACACATTGCGTGGCTCCAGGCGAGGCTGGAGCTTCTGTGCTCATTCCCATAAATGCAAAACTGTAATTCAATGAATGACTAAGAAGAAAAAAAAAAGAGAATCAGTGGAAACCCCCAACTTTATTTATTTGTTTGTTTATTTATTTGATCAAAACATTTGTTTTAATTCACAATAGGTTGCTAATCAGTATGTCCTACGCCGGGAGGATGTCAGTGGGTTTTGAAATTTGTTACGGGCTATTTTCAGAGAATGTACAAATAAATGTTTCCTACTCAGATTCAGTTCGGAGAGTTGAAATGGTTGGGAAAATGTAACTGTTAGCAACTTTCGGATGGAACCCAGCAGTTCCAAATCTTTTTGCATGCGCTGCACCACTCGAAATATCATATATATGCTCTTATAATGAATACCATGGGTGTATCCTTTGACTTAAAACGACACATTTATACAATTTCTTACTTTAAAAAAATAACTGAATGAACGCACAGCACAAGAGCAAGACCATGATTTTGTAAAAAAAACATTATAGAAATGCTCTAATAGACCTTAAATTACAGGTATGGGGGTGGGGTGTAATTTTTAAAGTGGATTTAAAAGCATTTCCACTTAGAGCTAACTTCAGTTCTGTCGGCAGCCTATTCCATTTGCAGCATAACAACTAAATGCTGATGCATTGTGTTTGCTCGGAACTCTGGGCTCCACTAATTGCCCCAAGTCTCCTGACCTCAGAACCCTACTGGGTTTATATTCCATGAGCATTTATTTCATGTCTTGAGGACCTAAGGCGATCAGTGATTTTTGGAACAGTAGCCTCATTTTAAAATTTATTTTCCAGCTGATTGGGAGCCAGTGTAAGTCTTTTGAACTGGAGTAATATGTTCTGATCGCTTTGTTCCGGGAAAAATCCGAGCTGCAGCGCTCTGAATGAGCTGCAGCTGTTTGATGCTCTTCTTAGGCAGTTAAGTAAGGTCTAACTTGGTTCTCAGTCCGATGCAGTTCAGCAAATGGTGCAGGTTGGGCGTCCATCTTAAAAGGGTTTGTGTGTGCTTGCACCCCCAGGCCCCCAGCAAGCAGGTGATGCACTCCTGGTTGCAGCAGCTCCAACAGAAGCGTTGGGAGTTCAGCAACTCGCGAGGCTACGGGCAGAGGGACAGCTGGAGCTCACCCACCTTAGCCTACCCGATCAGTGGGCTTGTAGCCGAAGACAATGGTACGAAGGTACACACACATACGCGCGCGCTCACACACACACAGTCTGATGGGTTGATATTTGCACATTGTTATCATTGTTATCATAAAGGATATATTAATCTTAATTACTTTGTTGCCAGTCTGCCAAGGCAATGCAGAAACCCCAGAAAAAACACCTGTGGTTGAAAGGCTTTAATGAAACATTTTCAGCCCGAAAAATCCTTGCCGTGTGTTTGTTTTTTTCTCTCCATTGCACTGTGATGATATGCGAGTGGGGGGGGGGGGGGGGGGGGGGTGGATGA